ATTCACACCAGTATTGACCACTTGATGATTCTTCTTCCCCGTAGAGAATATTTCTCTTATTGACCACTTGATGATTCTTCTCGCGTATTGTTTTCTCCTTATTCCTTAGTAAAACTACTCACTTTTGTTCCGAAGAAGGACTCTAGTTGTTTGATTACTGGATAAGAAATCTTTGCAGCTCCTGACTAGTTTGAACATCTAGGAAATACAATTCCATCCTCCTGATGTTTTTGACCTAACATAATCCCAAAGTCCGGGATAGCTTCCATGATCCAAATCTGAAATGCATAAGAGAAACCATGCAAAGATTACCTTTTCGGTTGCGTTAAGTTCTCTCTAGCCTTCTTGATGGAATCCACTAGATGACAAATGCTTCAAGACCCCACGGATACACGCGTACTTTACGAAAATCCATAGCCAATTTAATGTGAGTGTGTGAGATAGCGACCTTCTCATCCGTTGCAAGCAGCAATCTAGCAATGACACACACATACACCAACCGCAATCTATCCACCTGCGTCAACTGTCCAGCATTCTTTAAGTGTTTCTCATTTATGTCTTTCATGCAAATGGTAATGCCATACTCCATAAACTATCATCATCTACTCATTGTTCAAAGTTGTATTTGTCACTTTTTTAATCTTGAGACCGGTCACTGCATGGAATTCTTGCAAAAAAACCGAAAAAGCCTCTTAGCAAACACAACGCATATCTCATGCAGCATGGAGACATCAATCTGCTTACACATGAAGCTGTGTACCAGTTTCCCAGAGTATTTGAGACAATTTTCATGTATTGCCACAATGTGAGCAAAGACTCGATCTGCCTTCACATCATCGTATTCATTTGGCAATAGGTTCTTCAATTTTTCAAGAATCGCCATCTTGCAGCTATTGATAAAGATAACAGAGGCAAAGAGAAGATGAAGAGTGAGGAGGAATCCGGTGGCGGACGGAGAAGACAGAGGCAAAGAGAGCTTGAAGGGTTTCGATAGTTTCTAGGGATTTTGGGTTTTGATAGTTTCTAGAGATCTCTAGTTTCTATTGATAAAGATATTTTTTTTTGTTTATCTTATAAAACTATTTTTTTTATAAATCAGATTCAATTATTAGATTTGTTTTATTTAAACAGAAATTAAAAATAAAATTAACAAAATTAGAGGGTAAAATCGAGTTTCTCTAAAATTAGAGTCTAATGAGACTTATTCATATGGTAGAAGATGTATGGGGATAAATTAAAGTTCAAATGGTGGTAATTTAGCAAATATCTCAAAAAAATATTTGAAGTAAAGGAAAAGGAAAATTAGGAGAAATGCCATAAAATTCAAAAAATCTTTCCAAAAATGTCATTATCTGAAAATCCTTTAAAAAAATGCCACAAAACACTATTCATCAGACCGAGAAAGATATTTTTACCCTTGCCATCAAATACATCAAATGGTGATGTGTTATGATAGATTTAATTGGTGGACGAGAATATCTTTAATTAGTGGACGAAAATAACAGATAAAGTCAGAGAATTCGGTGGACAATGACAACTGTTGAAACATTAAGAGTTTGAAATTTTGGTAGACGAAAATATCATAAGACTTTCAAAACCTGATTTGGTCTCTACTTATTACTTATTGTCTATGTGACTGGAATTATGTGTCTTTATGTCCACTACAGAAAAGGAAGAAGATATCATCATGCAAATGTATGTGTAGTATGAAGACACGACTGAATGGAGAATTCGAACATGTGCTATTGTGGATAATATACGTGTAGTCTAAAGACACGATCAGTGGACAACTCGACTGTGTGTTACCCATGGACAATAAGTTGTCCACTAAAATTGT